TAATATGTTCCATATTAACTAATAAAGATTTACAGCGTATAAGCAATTTACAAACAAAAAAAAAAAAAAAAAAAAAATTTTCTTAATTTTTTTTTATCTAAAAGTTAGTTCTTATCTATTTTTATATAAAAGAGTTACAAAATAATAAAATTATTAAAAAAAGATAGTTTAAACTAAATTATTCAACTTGTAAAAAAATTTTAATTATATTATTAATAATTTAAAAACTTTTATTAGTAGTGCCTTTTAATTAAAATTTTGAGGTATCTATCTTTTTGTACTGGCTAATATTATAATTTTGTAAGTTAGAGTATAATTTATTTGCAACGTAAATGTAATTTATGTAATTTTTTAACTCTAATTACAGCAATATTGCTAACACTGAATTCAAAAACTTATCAAACTTTGCTAAACAATAATTGGGAAATTTTTATCATTGCCCCAGAATTTATGAGAACAAGCTATTAAGAAACTCTCATTTAAAATTCAGAAATTTTTAATTTTTTTCTAAAACACTTTGATATTAAGTTTTTTTTAAATTTTAGTGATGGTTTCTTACTAACTACTAAATTATTCACTATACTTTTTTATTTTAATTCTACTAAACTATAAAATTAAAATAAAAAAATTTCTAAATTTGATTAAGCAGATATTGCGAAACATTTACTAGAAGTTTTTAAAAAACACTTTATTTAGAATGATATATCCATATTATTTAATGATTGGGCAATTTCGTGATAGTAAGTAACTCTAGAAATAGACACCACCAGTGCTCTATTAAATAATATAGCAAATTTTAAGATTTCCCAGTAATAAATAGCTATTTAATATTTTAATTACTAATTAAATAAATAAACTAAAATTAAAATATATTAATACAGTACTATAATAACTATTGAATTACAAATAAGTGATATGCTTAGATGTAAAAAGTTTAATAAGACACTACAGTATGTGATTAAGATTGTATAAGTTGCATTAGAATTTTTATGGGTTGTATAAAAAATCCAGTAACATTTACTTGCTATTCTGATGACTGTGATGTGGTTGAGGTTGAGTTAGTTTGCATTAGAATTATCTTAGTTTTATGTAATTAAGATTGAGTTGGTTTGTATTGAAGCAAAGCCTTACTATTTTAGTTACTACAGTATGTGATTAAGGTCGAATTAGTTTGTATAAATTATTGTATTAGAATTATTTTCCGAATTACTGTAAAAAATTTTGTTATAAAAACTCACTATTTTGGTGACCACAGTATTATTAGTTAAAGTTAAGGTAGGTTGCATCAGAATTGTTTTGTATTTTCTATGTAACTTGATTGAGTTGGCTTTATTTGACTCATCTCAATTTCTATCATAATTTACTATAAACATTTTGTTGTTACAGAACTTGCTATTCTGGTAATTATGAAAAGTGAGCTAGCTTGTATTGGAATTATTGTAATTTTTTTTATAAATTACTGTAAATACACTGTTATGAACCTATTTAGCACATAATATGCAATTAAGGTCGAGTTTGCACTGACTGTAAAAAAAAATTTTATACAAAAACATGTTTGCTATGCTATTCTAATAATCACAATATGTGGTTGAATTGGTTTGTAATAGAATTATTATAATATGACAGGGTAAAACCTACGCAAAAGTGGTCACATTATTGATGCAGATCACTACCTATAATAGCAATTACTCTATCACTAGCCCTAACTAAGTAAGATCTGCATCAACAACATAACTATTTCTGCGCAGGTTTCACCCTTTCATATTGTAATTAATATTGAGTTACTGCAAAAAACTCTGTAGCAAACTTTACTATTCTGGCAATAAACATTTTGTGACTAACAGTACTAACGCATATTATATGTTATCTATATCTTAGTCACTTTAATATCTACAAAGCATGTATAATAAATATAATTTAGTTTCTGAAGATGTGAATAGCATTCACATTCAATTTTCACATATTTATTATTAATTCACAAAACTGAATTATAATAATCCTGTATGATATTAATTATACAAACAATCAAAATGTCAGTTGTGATGAACAATAATCCTTATAAAGTTAGCTAATTTAACATGATTACATCAAGCATCATTTTATAATATTAGGAAAGTATTGCATCATGCTATCATGCTATTATGCTAATCTTGTATAAGCTCTTTTTCATACTGTGGAACTTTAACAATAATAATACTAATATAGCTTCAATTAATTGTTGATCATGCGTAAACATGATTGCTAACCAGGTATGTGGATTTTTCATATTAATGATGATAAATAATAAATTATCATCCCACATATGTAAGTACACATGTATATAACAGGCTGACAATTAATAGTATTGTTTGAAACACAAGTTATATACTTATGTAAATAGTTAGCTCATTCGTGATAGTGGGTAATATGAGTGTTGCTAAATAAGAACTTATAATTCTAAAAGTAATTATTAAGTTTTATAACTATCTATTTTTATAATTATGGGGTTTCATTGCAATATTCGTACAGTCAGACCTCTCTAAATGCATACCCTCAGGACCAGCTTCAAAGTATGCATTTAGGGAGGGTTGCATTTAGAGAATAACTAATAGAAATACAGCAAATATATGATCACGTGAAATGACTATTATCTGATATTGTACATTCGTATGTATATACGTACGTATGTATGTACGTACATACATATTAGGTATGTGCTCTACTGTGAACTTTTAAAATTTTTTTTTATCATATGAACTTTTGCTCTTTGTTTTACAAGTTTGTGAATTTATATTTCTCGTTTAATCATAGTATTACTTTATTTATTGTAACGAAGCCAAAATCTAACTCTAATTTAAATATGCATGTCTAACTTTTTAGATTAAACATTTAAATTTTTTTTTTTTTTTTATACTTAGAGAAAAAGAAAAAACTAACTATGTTTCGAATATAAATTGAACAATTTTATATTGTTATATAAAAAGATAAGTTTTTTTTTTTTTACTTGACTACTCAAATAAGTAATTATCATCGTTTTGTTGGTCATCCTAATTATTTATTTAGAGATAAGGAAATATTGTTAGACAAAGTTTAATTTCATTAGCCTTATTGTTATGTACGTACATTACTAACTAGTTCAAAGAAGGTTTCTATGTTTAGTTGTTTAAATGAAGCATTCCGGATCTTTCTTACTAACTCATACAATTTTGACAAGGCTACGTCATTTTCTGTTTGAACCACATAATTAAGGTCTTGTTGCATAAGATATAACTCCAATCGATGAATAGCATCTAATGCTTCTTTATGAGTTATTTGGGGTGTTTCTACACTATTATCTTCTTCATCACTTTCAACCTGTTGAGGTTCCTGATATGTGGCTTGGTTTAAAATTTCCTAGTCACTCATTATTTCTGTTACGATTCTTTCTTCTGAATAATCTATATAGTCTTCAAGATCCATTACATTTTGTAAATTTAGCAATTCGATGTTATTATACAACTCTTCTATTATATCATCATTATTATTATAAGTGGTAGGTTCTTCATTATTATCTTGAACTAATGGAAGAATTTCTGTGTGTCAAAAGCAATTTTTTATAGTTTCTGATGACACTTCTCTCCATCCTCGAACAATGAATTTTATAGCAATAAGAACATCTATTTTATTATCTTTTTCGGACTCATACTGATCAAGAAGCCACTTTATAAAGTAACTTCGGTAGTTGCATTTGAAGAACATAATGACACCAGCATCTATAGGTTGTAGGCGAGATGTTGTATATAGAGGAAAGAATCTAATGGTTGTATTACGAAGTCTTAAATTACCAACAGAGTGAACTTTTGCATTATCTATTAGGAGAATTATGTTGTGACCAGCCATTTTCAAATCAAATTTCTTAAGCCATTTTTGGAACAACAAAACTGTCATCCATGCTTTTTGACTTGAATCGTACATAACATGAAGGCTGCAGCGATTAATAAATTTGAAGCAACGTGGATTGACCGACTTACCAATAACAAATGATATCATTTTATCTATCCCGTCAGCATTGGCACAAAGTGCCAATGTTAGCCGTTCTTTATTAATTTTTTTTCCTTTAAGACAAACAGTTGCAAGCGCAGTATCTGGCTCTAGACTAGAAAAAAAAAATTTTAGCTAAGTATTAATTAGCATACAAGGAATACTATAGGTTACTAACCGATTTACTTGTGTATTACAAGTAAATCGGTTGGTAACCTGTAGTACCCACAATATTATTTATTTATACAGTACCGATAAAACAGTCCAGTCTCATCCATGTTATATATATCCTTCAAATTGTAATTTTTTAGGGTTTCTCTTAGATCAGGAATAGCTGTTCTGATAACTTCTTCATCTACAGAAGCATCTTCTCTGTGTTTTGTTATTCTTTTTAATCTGTGTCTTTGTTTAAACTTATAAAGCCAACTATGTGAGAACTTGAGATTTCTTCAGGTATGTTTAATGATTTAGCAAAACTTTTTGCTTTTTTGACTATAATTTCATCAGATATGATTATTCTTTCTTGGCTTTGTAGGATCCATTCAATCAACATATTTTCAAGTACTGGGTGTTGAACTATTCTTTGTCTTTTTGCCATGGGATTTTCTCCAATTTCTTCTTTATTCTTTATTAAACGGCTAATAGTAGTTTGATGAACCGTTAGACCCATTGTTTGCTTTACCCAACTGACAAGATTAGCTTGACTAATTTGAGAGTTTTTTTTTTGTGCTTAATTATATCTTTTCTTTGTTCATTGGTAAGTGTAGTTTTAGTTTCTTTGGATTTTTTGGATGACATTTTGTTAATTCAAATTATTATTCATTCAGTCTATTTAAATAATTCAGGATGGGGTTATTGCATTATTATAAAATGCATAAAGGTGTTTATATCTAAAAGCTATACTCGTTATTCTTTTAACAGTTATTGCTTAGTATAAGCGTGGAAAAATTTTAAGGCACTACGTTTCAAAAGAGGAAATAGGTATACATATTTTTTTCGCATATAATATTTTTGGAATTTACTAATTCCCAGGGCTAGAATGACAAAAAAAAAGAAATAGGTATACAACAATTGCTTATTTCACATATATTTTAATTTTTTTTTAAAAATGCTTATTAATTTGATACAGGTCAGAATGACAAGAAATTGGATCCAGGGCCAGAATGACAAAGAAATAAATGCTTATTTTCTATATGATTGATTTTTTTTTTCAAAAAAAAATAATTAAAAATTTTGCACCGTTTTAA